TAGCCATCACAATGTGGCCCTTGTCAAAGTCCCTCAAACCCTCATGCTGCCAATTTTTCCTGCTTCTAACACATCAACATGAGGACAAAATGTTCACTTGCTGTCTGATATATCCCACCCACTGACAGGAGCCATGATAACCAGGGCTCATAATGTTATGGCTGATCGGTGTATATTTGCATGCAATGTTCTTTGTTACGTTATTATTATTCCTCATTACTGCTGTGCAATGGCAGGCATGGTAGGAGGTCTGCTGGTACCTTTGAAGCAGCGTCTTTGTGGTCTGACTGAAGACTTTCTCCCCACACACCTCTGGTTTCTCCACAGTCTCCACCTCCTGTAGGGAACATGAAGGCATAACTAATAAAACAGAGTCAAACAGATATACACAGCTAAATCTCTCACTGGCTGCATGTTTACTCTATCTACCAAATGTGAGCAATGACCAAGGACTAGAGTTGCAAAAGCCAAAACTGATGTTACCACCTCATACACCTGGACAAAAAAAGCTGATACAGTACATTAGCTGCTCTTTTGGGCTGATTTACCTTTGTGGGTTTTTCTGGGCTTTCAGTCAGAAGAGTCCACATGTTGTTCTTGAGTCTCTTCATGTCCATTTTCTTTGCGGTCTTAGCATAGTTGATTTCAATCTTGTTGACCTACAAAAACAAGCAATAATGCAAGAACAAGTATGTAAAAATGCAAAACTAAGAAATCTTTTATAATCATTCCAATTCAAGAGGAGTAGAATATTTTGATTAAAATGTGCCCACGGCCTTCAGGTTTTATGTTTTGTTACATTAAGAGTTTTATCAGGTGCTAGAAAGAGTCTCTGCGACCCTTAAAATCCTGTTACTCACCCTGTGCGGTTCAGGTACCAGATCATCCTCCCCATAGGTTGAGATGCCCTCTAGATCTTGTGAGGGCGGAGCTATACTGTCACCTGAAGGCTGGGTATCGTCTGAACCGGCAAACCCTTCAACATCATCATCGCTGTCGCCACCCTGAAGAGGTAGATGGACAAAGAGGTGCCAAAGGGATGTGAAGATGTGATTCCTCATCAGTTTTTGCAATTGCTTATGACAATCCTCCATCTCTCCTCCACATACACCATTATCTGATAACTAATTGGCCATGAGACAAGATCTGATTTAACTGAGGTGGTGATGACTGATTGATCATCACATTGTTTGCTTCACTGTGATTAATCAGAGTCGAATGTTGCACTGTCAGGAAGAAAAATGATGTGCATCGAGTTGAAGTCAGTTTTAAAATTGATCAGCTGGATGAGAGTTATTCTGAAGCAGAGCCACACTGACTGAAACACTTTGCAATATCATATCATTATTTTAAGGCCATGTCAGCCACCGTAACTCTTTAGATAAAGAAAGTCTGTTAAAATACAAATCAACTTAAATAAACAAGTTAACAGGTTAAACAAGTTAAAGATCATACCTCAAGACCTGGGCAGAAATTGGCTGTGTCGTTGGCGTTGTTGTAGTCGTAGTCCCCAATGCCTTCTCCAAGCTCTCCGGACAGCCTCTTCTGGCCTTCTTTACTCAGCTAGAGCAAAGAAAAGCAAATACGTCCTTCTTAATAAGTATCTTTATTCAGATACTCCGGGTACATTATATGGTGACGGTAGCATATCTAATTTAGTATAAAAAGCTGATGACCATGATAATTATGTGATTGCTCTACATCTTAATGACTAGCAGAACAGACAGAACAGACTAACACTATATTCCCTATTGCTCTGCAAAAGCAACAGACCACTGGTGCCACAAACGTATGTTTATGTCTCTATTTAACCTCTTCCACCAGCCCTGTCAGATGGTAGTAGTGAA